TGATTAATTTTAGTAAAGAATGATATCTAAAATATAAAAGTAAATTAATGAATCTTGTAAAATCTAACATTTAATTAGTAGATTTTAATAACTAGTATATAAAACTATAATAAATTAAAAAAAGAAGAAGAAATGTCTACTTCCGACGTCGAACAGCCACCGCATGATAAGGACGAGACGGTCGTGTCTCTGTCGTTTCCACTGTCCTCGTTGCCATATGAGTTGGCTCTAAACTGTCTAGCTCGAGTCTCAAGATCTGACTACGCAGCCTTATCTCTTGTCTCCAAGAGATACAACTCTCTCGTGGCTTCACCTAAGTTATACAAGACGCGATCACTAATGCGTTACACTAAGGACTGTTTCTACGTATGCTTAAGCACCGGTTATACTCAAACCCACTGATCTGGTTCGTTCTCCACCGTGAAAAAACTGTGAACCGGTCTATGAGTCCGGTCCCTTCGTTCCCATCTCACCCTTTGAGAGGATTCTGCGTAGTGTCGCTTGATTGGGGGATTTATGTAATCGGTGGATCCAATAAAGGTCCCACTTCCGATGTGTTTCTCTTGGATTGTCGGACTCACACGTGGCGTCAAGTCCCTTCTATGGGAGTGGCTCGAAATCAGGCGGTGGCTGGAGTCGTAGACGGGAAGATATACGTGTTAGGAGGCAGCAACGCCGTCCAAGCTGAATACACTGGAGAGGTGTTTGACCCAAAGACTCAAACTTGGAATGATTTGGTGCCAATTACGGATAAGAGAACTGTGGTAAAGTTCCTTGGGGAGAGTATGGTGATAGATGAGAAGATTCACGCAATGTTTTGTTTTAACAGAGGAGGCGTATATTACTCGCCTAGTGAAGGTAAATGGGGAAGAACGGAAAACAATGATTCCTATAGAAGAATCAGTAGTTATTGTTGTGTGAATGGGAAATTGTTATAGAGTTGTGATGACTACGGAAATGTGTTTTGGCGTGAGTCAGAGGAGATTGAGTGGAAGGAAGTGAAAGGTTTGGAGGCTCTAAGGGATATTTTTCCTAGGGATTATGATGTGTATGATGTAGCGAGAATACCTAATGTGGCTAGAGCTGGGTCCGAAGTCTGATCCATTGAAGTGTTATAGCCAACTGAGAAGTTTTGGTGTGAACATTGTGGTACCATGGTTTATTTATAGTGAGGATGAGAATAATGTGGATGTTTGGTGTGCGGAGATTTTATTCGAAAGACGTAAAGATATAGGTGAGATTTGGGGGACGATTGAGTGGTCAGAAGTTGTGGCTAGAGTTAGTACCTCTAGTAAGGTTGAGGTTTTAGATTCTGCTTCTGTCAATGTCTAGACTAAATCCAAATCACAAGGTGTTTCATTGTGCTATGTGTTATATTTGGGGTAATTTCATCCCATTCCTTTAATTTTGTTACATAATTATTCTAGTTTTCAATGATTTCGTATGACTAATAAAATGATTTTATAGCCTAATGTTTTGGATTTCTATACACATCATTTTCTATGGTTGTAACCATTGTCTTTGCCTAGTGAACTTGCAACTATATAGGTCTAATTTATCACTTTTTTTTTTATATGCGTACATATTTACCTGTTCTTATTGCTAGTTTTTTCTTTTGGTCTCACACTTTTAAAGCATGTATGTATGTTGTTATTGTATTGTATCAGTCACTAAAAATAAAAAAATCAAAACGATATCTTATTATGTTGTTTGACAATGGCTCGAAGGTTATTGTTATAGAAACTGACATATCGTATATCTTTTTAAGCCGATATACCATTAATGACACCCATATAGTCCATATGATAATAAGAAAATCTATTATTGTACCTTCGATGATGATTCAGAAAGATAAATCATGAGAGAAAATGTACATCATTTCTTGTCCAATCAAACTCATACACATG